TGATTTTGTTTTATTTTAATATGAAACAATTATCTCTTTAAAGCATGTTTAAGTAACTGATGATCTTGCTAAATCTAAATCTATCATTGAATTTCAATCTTTATTTTAATATCACAGTTGTATGTTTCTTTAATGTATTAAAGGTTCCAAATCAATTTTTATAAATGTTTATATGTTTTCAGATAAATTGGTATTTACTGTAAATTTAATTGTATGTGTATAAAGTCATGTACAAATGTTCTTAATTTTCTGTTCATGTCAGAAAAAAAATTATATTACATTTTAGTTAAGAATAGCCTGGGAACATTAAAAGAGACTATCAACACTTCAGAAAATTGCATCATTTCAGACACATGTGGTGGATTTTCTCTATAATTAACAGATTAAGGTCAAGACAAAGGCTTTCTGCGAACTTGCTGCTTGTACGCAGGAATGTGCCAAAACAATAACTATATTGCTTGCCGCAAGTTAGCAGTAACTTTTGCCGCAAGCTTGCAGAAACGTTTGCTGCAAGCTTGCAGCAAGGTTTCCATATTTGGAAAATCCAATGTTTGCTGCAGATTTGCAGCAAACCTCATTTGCATGGTAAAATGTTTGCTGCAAGCTTGCTGCATATCTGCCGCAAACTTGCTGCAAACACATAGGCTTTGTATAGGCTGTAATGGTTTCTTTAGCTTCATTGCAGCAAGCTTGCAGCAATGTCTGCAGCAAGTTTGCAGCAATGTTTGCTGCAGACTTGCAGCAAGTGTTTGCAGGAAGGCAATATTTTTGGTAAGGGTACTAATTCTCAAGCACTCCAACCTAAGACTTTGGGGAGAGAAGACGCTCTCTCTCCCCAACACAACTTTATCTCACGATAATTGTGAACTTTGTCTAGGATTTACGGTAAGAAATAACTGGTAAATTATTTCTAAGGATTCAATTACTATTCAATATCTATTTGATCATTTTATTTCAATCAAGTATTTTATAAATTCTCCAAATTTATAAAATTTAAATTATGATCCGCGTAAAAGTGTGAGTGAGGCGAGAGATATTTAATACCTGTTGTTATATTTCAGGTCACCCTTCCTTCTATATTATAATATTCCACAATCGTAGAATATATATTATATATAAACATCGAACCCAGCAGCCGTGTTGTGTTATATTTTACCACATTATAAGGCTGTGACATGTAGTATATAGCATCAGGAAATTAAAACGAAAATGCAGATTCAGCTATATCATGTATATGCATGGGAATGCTTATTACATTGTTACCTCCCCTTTCACACTTACTGGAATTGCACATGGTTGTAGGAAATTTATTCGATAATCTAGAGCTTGAGAATGTTTAATTACAATTGCTACTGTAATACAAAATTTTAGTTACCCAGAAAAGAATTTCAAAATCCCATAATGTGTTTGTGGAGGCCAGTACTCCATGCACAATTTCTTCAAATGAAAGCATGACCAACCAAGCAAAGAGAACAAGAAAATCACTTTTTCCAAGTTTGACCAAAGGTAAATATGCAAAATATGAATTAATAAATTAATCCATGTATTTGAGCATTGAATCATTATTTTTTGCAAGATATGGTCTCTTTACTGCAACAGTGTGTGCAAACAAATTGAATAACGAGTGTTGGCGTTATGAGAACACTGTTGCAGTTATGACTGACTATATCTTGAAAAAAATAATGATTCGATGCTTATATTTACATTTTTAACTCCTTTCCTTGCCTGCAAATGAGTAATACATTTTTATAATCGCTGTTTTATCCTTCGGGTGAGTTTATACATTAATGGAAGAGCCGTTGCAACAGCTTCTGTTCATTGTGAGCGTGAATTTTGATTTCACTTAGGATGTTGCACTTTCACGACTTTCAACGTTTGTGACGTCAAAGTTAAATGCATACTTTAACTTTTTGATCTCATGTCCGTGTTATGGCGTTTTGAATGCCGTAGTTTTCCTCATATCTATATCTATATCTATCTATCTATATATATATATATATATATATATATATATATATATATATATATATATATATATATATATATATGTATCAATTGAGTGGTAGATGTATGTAAAAAAAAAAAATTCTTAACAATTTTGTGAAATATTTATAGTTGAATTTAAAATTTAAATATAAAAATGTACTAGATGGAGAGTTGCATTCAAAAACTAGCCGAACAGACCAAGTTTTGAAGAAGCTGGAGGCATTAGGAAATTCTGCTGGGGAACACAATTCTTTTATTGAGAAAGAACTTGTTGACCCTATAGTTTCATTTCAAAGATGTAATGTGTTAACAACAATGAAACCTCTCATGAAGTTGCAGGCATGTCAGGACTTTCCATTTGATCTGCTAGAGGAGATAATAGAGCGGTAATTGCATGAACGATGACTACCAGTATTCAGGAAAAATAAATTGATATATATTGCATGAGAGGAAAAAGTCTAATTTAAAAGTATATTACTGCAGGCACAAGAGGCCCCTTGTCCCTAAGCATACCCGAGTCATAATTAACTTTAAAAATTTATTAATTTTATACATTGACAGCTCAAAATATCCCATTATCTGGAAGTGTAGACTTCCTTATAATCCTTCTAATCAATACAGTTTCAATATCAAATTTACATATTATGAATTAACCCATCCTGGGGGAGATATATATATCAAACTGAATGAAAGTACAAAAAGCTGATTAAACATGAAAATTAGTTTGCCATTTTTTAACTTGCACTCAGGAAGGATTTTGAATAAAATGTGTGATATTTACAGGGTTCCTCTCCTGATGAAGATTTTTTTAAAGTTGATTGGGAAAGTTTCACCCACCATTATTGGCCCTCTGACAGCAGTCATTGGAATCATTTTATTTCAGAGAAACCACATGGCTTCTGCTTTCCAAAGACTAATTTCACTTGTGTGTTTGAGGGGTCAACTTGAAGACAGTGTTTGTATATGATTATTTTAAAATGCATGTAATTAATTTTCCTGGCAGGGATTAATTTAATTACAATTCAATCTCTTTTCTGCTTGAACTCTCAGTAAGGCGTGGCAATCTCGGCGATACATAATTAGTGTCTCTCAAATGGTGACCTAGATTCTCATTGGTTAAGAAATTAATAACATTAGCAACTTTAGATTGTTGTTAACAAACAATGAGATGACATAAGCCACACCTCTTCACTGTAAGAAACGATGTACCTAATTGGTTTCTTGCTTCACTCGTTGATGTCAGAACCATTTTTATCCTATGTGTATTTCACCCCTGAATGAAAAGCTGTGTAAATTTCAATATTGATGAGCTAATCCGGCAACCAATGAGAATCTAGGTCACTATTTGAGAGACTCTACTTATGTATAGCCAAGAATGTCATGCCTTACTGAAAGTTCTAGCAGAAAAGAGATTTGTACTAATTATAATGATAGTACTCTGATGCTGAGAAGATTTTCTATTCTTATGCTTAAATCAAGTTTGATAAAGAAAAAAGTAAGGACACTATTTTTCGTCGGGTTTCGAAGTTAATGATCAAGTATAAAAATTCATCATGTTTTACAACCTCAGATACACAGTATCAGTTTCAATGACATAATGATATCAATTTTAAAGGCTCTCACCAGATTAAATCACTTCGGACTTTGTCTTGCACCCACAAGCAAACTGAATCTGCAGAATGAAGCCTCCAAAACTTCAAAATTGCAAATTATTGAACATATCAAAAGAACACCTCTGATCAAGACAACAGGAGACAATTTGGATGTTATGGTAGATTAAAGATAGTACTTATTAATAAGTATTTGCTTGATTAGAACATCTTATCGTGCAAGATGATAAAAAAATCTCTATAATTATACATGAAACCATTACATTTCCAATTAAACTTAAAGCATTGTTTCATTTAATTATGCTGCATGCACTTATTATTAGGATTCTGCATGAAATATTGCAGCCCTGTAACGAATCACATTCAAATTTTTTTTTATACATGTGAAATCTGCACATCTTCCAATGAACAATCCAAATAGATCCCTTCACTTATTTGCATCAAACATAGTTTTTCCCAGAATTGCCCACCTACAATGCACCACCATATCAAATGACAAACTAAACATTCCTGCTCAAATACCTGAAGCGAGCTTCATATTGCAAGATGGAGCAGGGAAAGAACGGATGATGTTGTGCTACAAGGTACATGTAAATGTAGCAATTAGTACACTTTGGGACAGTGCAATGTAATGGGAATATTAAAACAAAAAAAAAAACTTTGAAACAAATTTAGTATAGATATTAATTAAGCAGTATACAATTTGTAGACAATACGAATTTTTCAGATAGACATATAGATAAAATTGTATAATTGTCAAACCATTTGTAGATCATAGTTAGCAGAATTCTAAAGGAAAATCCTGACGAAGGATTTAGGTGGATGGACTCATATGAGCCAAAGAATTCATTTGCATTTCAATCAAGAATGAGGGAGAAATCTACTGTTATTCAGCTCCCCATTATGCTAAAAATGAAGCCAAGCATGAGGACTGCTTAGGCATCTTAGATGAGTTTGAGAATACACCTACTAATTTATTCATCGAATCTTATGGTATTATTTATTAGAAAATTAAATGTAGATAACATTTTATTGATCAACCAAGTCACTCATTTTTTAACATCTGGTTTTGATAGTGTACTATTTAAAATTGTAATTGTCATCATGAGTTCAATTTATAAAGTTCCCATTATTGGCTTAAAATATTAGAAGTAGGATTTTTTATACAACAAAAAGAAATAAAACAGACAAACCTGTCATTTAATTACACACTAGTACCATATTTCTTTTTCTTCATTATCAAGAAAGTTTACAATGTAAAGATATTTTTTGTCCCAAAAAAATATCAGTTACTGAATTTCAGTTTACCTTTGCTAATCTTCTATCCAACTCTCTATTAGGCAACGACGATAAGTTGAAAGAACATCCGGCTATCTTGGAGGAGACCAACTGACCAGGTGCAGAATGCAAGAGGCCAAGGCTTTAAGAGCACTTTCAGCAGATCCAAAAATGCGGTTTGAGGACATTGGAGGAATATTTATAGAATTTTGGCATCTGAAGCAGGATATTTTAGGGGTTAAGTAAAGTTAGATCATTTGTGCAATATCCGTTTATTAACTATGTCAAGGGCAACATGCATTTTGATCCAAAATGGACTAAAAGAATGTCATAACTGTCCAGCATCTACTGACCAGTCAAACATCTCAAGGTCTAGTCCAATGGGACCACTTGGTAAAAGACATCGGAAATGATAAAAATAGACTTTAAGTGGAAACAATATTGAAAGCCAAAGATATATTTAAGATATCTGATAAAATGTTAGAATGTAAATGTATACGAATCTGTTGAAAATTATGAACATTGAACCTTTAATTTTAATAATTGCATTTACAGAAAGCTTTCAAAGCACTCTTTTCAACAAAAGGTTGCAGGGATCCTGCCTCCTTGGCCTTTTTCAAATGCAAACTATTACGGTCAGATATAACTGGGAAAGTAAAAGGGAAATTCCAGTCTCATTTTGAATTTTTCTCCTTGGTGGGAGAAGTCATGATTCTGGAGTTGGCCAGAGAGTTTTTTGCCATTGACAACAATGGCATTCCAACAGCAAATATTGTAGATTTGCAAAATTTAACAAAGGATGAGAAAAGAACTGCTATTGGAAATGCTTTTATCCTTAATGTTTTATCCTTAATGTGTCTTATCAATACTAGAACAGATACCCTGTATATTTCACATGTAAAATGATGTACTTAATTGTCCTATCTATGTCTTATCCTCTGTATGTTGCTAACAGTCTGGCTTATGTATGGGGACATGTGGGTTCGAATCCCACCACTACTTAGATACACACAGTAGTGAATATGTTTGGTAGGTCTCCCATAGGCTTACTAATCCCTGCACTCATTGTCTTAATCACTGCACTAATTGCACAATCTCAATCTGCAATAAATGTATAATCCAAGCACTAACTGTCTAATCCTTGTACTGTCTTGTGTTTTATTAACTATAGCACGAACACCTGTGTATATATGTGAGATGTAAAATGTGTAAATGTTGTACTGGTCTTGTCTACTGTTATCCTCTGTATGTTGCTAACAGTCTGGCTTATGTATGGGGACGTGTGGGTTCGAATCCCACCACTACTTAGATACACACAGTACTGAATATGTTTGGTAGGCCTCCCATAGGCTTACTAATCCCTGCACTCGTTGTCATAATCACTGCACTAATTGCACAATCTCTGCACTAACTGTATAATTCCTGCACTAATAACTGTGTAATCAATACACAATTTACATTTCACATGTAACATTCAAAACAGCATACTATGGATGGGAAGTTCAAAAGGTAAAATTATAATTTTTATACAAATGCGAAATCCATTCACGACATGGATGAACGGCCAGAATTTACAAATCACTGCTCAAATAATTGCATAAGCCATGTATTCTTTCCAGCACCAATTGTTTAATTCTAGGATTTACTGCCTAATCCTGACAGTATAGTTGTCCTACTTGTCAGTAGTGACAGTATTCTCTAAAAGAAAGTAAATAATCCTAGAAGAAGAAATATTAGTTAATATGGATATATATTATATAGAACGTACATATGTAGGTACATTGTAAATCAATTTCATGCGAAATTTTCTACTAGATAACTTAATTCCAGTTTGATTTGATAAGCAGCCGAACTGATAAAACGTGTTTTTTGGGGGGCAGCTCTAATCTTACCTCTTACCTATGTTGAATTACTATGAGTGATTGTGTTGTGTTTTCCTAGCCAAAATATATGGCTGAGTCTAATAAATATATGGATCAAAGTATTAATTCAAGCTTATTTAAATCCTTTTCTGGACTTACACAATCATTTGATGGAGATGAAAATATCACTACTACTGATGTGAGTATACCACACTTCCTAAATGTGACATATAACAAATACAGTATAACTGTGTCCTTCCAACAAGAAAAATATGTAACTATTTTGAGCTATTTAAATGAGGAACTAAAACCAATTAAAGAAGTAGGGAAAAATGGACAAATTTTCAAGTCTGATTGTGATTCTGTGACGGCCACACTCTATGCTGGGACTAGCGTCTTACACATTCAAGGTTCGTCAGCAAATACCTGGCTTGACAAATTCGTTCACGACATCAAGAGCAAAGATACTAACAATATTAGTAATGTTCTGGGCCAATCATCACCACAAATGGCATCAACTCCAGTTAAAAGTGCTTCTCTTGTGTCGACCAGTCAGTCAAGTGATGTACAAAATTGTACACAGTGTGCGAATACAATTCAATCTCTACAACTGGCTATCTGTAATTTAGCTAAAGAATTACAAGAATTAAAAGAAAAACTAAAATGTCAAATAAAAGAAGACGATCACAACAAACCAATACTGGTTGACAAAAACACTCAGACATCAATCAAGGTTGTGAAAAACAAGGAAACAGACGTGCATGGTTTAAAATCTGCACCAACGAATTCCATATCTAGACACACTCAGTGCGAACATTCTTTACCGGAAAAGAAAACAAAATGCACAGCTGATTCTGGTACAAACACTGAACCACACAACCACCCAATACATACACCTGCAAGATCAGTGATTGAAGAAAAGGAAAAATCTGGTAATACAAAACTTATAATTGGCAGTTCAATCCTACAACGGGTAAGAACAAGAGGACTACAAAAGGGTGTTCATGTAAGAACAAATAGAGGGGCTAAACTTTCCCACATCAAAGCTAAACTTCTCAAAATAAATGTAGCAGAATACTCCCACATCATTATCCAAGCCGGGGGAAATGATGCCTCATCTCATCGAGACATGGACGCCATTGAACATGATGCCGCGGAAATCATCTCCAATATCAAACATCGTTCTCCGGGAACCAAAGTATATTTTTCCGAAGTATTACCAAGACGGGATGTGGATGTATCTCATGTGAATACCACACTAAAATATGTATGTGATGAATATGGAGGTGTCTTTATTTCCAACAAAAGTGAATTCAAGGAGGTAAACCGTATGCATTATTGGAGAGACGGTATTCATCTTTCAGACAAGGGGACGTCAATGCTGCTTAAACGGATTAACAGCGAAGTTTCAATTCTGCGTGTGAATTCCGGTCGAACCAATACGGACTCCAATGCAAGCTTTTATCAGTCTGTGACTTGCTACTTCTGTAGTGAACACGGACACACATCACGCCACTGTAGACACGGACGAAAGCTTGACTGCTGGAACTGCGGTGAATTAGGACACAAGACGAAATCCTGTCCATACATGTACTAGGTATCAGGCAATGAATGTGTAGCCGTCCACAACCAAACTAAAATCTTTACCAAACTCTAGTATATTTTCTATTCTTAGTATTTTATGTAATGAATGTAACAATTTTCAATGTTCATGTGACGACCATACTGATAACTGTAATAACTCTACAAATTTTAAATTGTCAAGAAAACCACATGTTAAACGAAAGACTCAATTGAACACAGATTCTAAAAGTAATCAGAGATCAGCTATACAAACTACTGTCATATCTCCTATGCCTAGCTCATTCAAATCTGTTTCACAAGTAAAAAACCCAGTTCCTTTGACCAATAAAAATGATATTCAAACAACACAAAAGAACCAAGGATTTGGGTTGGTAAAAAAAGGTTTAAGATTCGGAAATTTAAATATTTGTCATATTATTCCAAAAATTGATGAAATAAAACTACTGCTCCAAAATAGACAAACTTTAGATATTTTAGGTATATGTGAAACATTTTTGACCGAGCAGATAGGCAACTCTGAATTGAATATTGAGGGCTTCGTTTTTGAAAGAAAAGATCGTGTACTAAAGGCAGGTGGTGGAATTTTAATATACATTTCAAATGATATTTCATATAAACGTAGAACTGATTTGAAATCAGTAATATTGAGACAATCTGGCTAGAGATAAATTTAAGAAATTCAAAACCTATATTTTATTGCTCTGCTTATCGTCCACCATCTGCCCCCTCCTGCTGGGCTGAGGATCTAGCAAGGGAGGTAAACCGTGCCTCCTGCTGTGATGATACTGAAATAATTCTAGCAGGTGATTTTAATATTGATTTAATGAAAGACCCCCCACAATACTGGACATCTGCTTTAGAGGAGTTTGGATTTTCACAGATAATTACTGTTCCAACTAGAATAACAAGTACTTCAAGTACCTTAATTGATCATTTTTATACAACCAAACCAGAAAACATATGTGAAACCAGTGTGCCCCCTATTGCTATATCTGACCACTACCCTGTATGTTTGACACGGAAAACTAACTGCATACAGCGTAATGGAAAACATACTGAAATCCAATATCGAGATTTTAAAAAATTCAATGAAAATAAGTTTCTAAGAGATTTAGAAAATGCAAATTTTAACAGTCTTCTTGAACTAAAAGACCCAAACGAAATATTGAATAAATTTTATGAATTATTTAATGATATTCTTAAAAAACATGCCAAAGTAAAAACTAAAAGAGTCAAGACTGAAATTCGACCTAAATGGCTTACACAGGAAATAAATGATGCTAGACTTTTACGTGATACATACCATCTACAAAGAAATTCAGAAAATTACAAATTTTGGAGAAATAAAGTCACACAATTAATAGATCAAGCCAAATCAAAGTATTACAAATCAGCAATTGAAGAAAGTTCAAGTCCTAAAGAAATGTGGAGTTATTTAAACCATTTGGCATCCAATTCCAAAAATTTTACACCTAACCGTATTACACAAAATGGTTTGGATTTTGAAAATTTACAGGATATTGTTGATATTTTTAACAAACACTTTACAGAAATATCCTGTAAGTTATTAGCAAATATATCAGTACAAAGTTTTGATTCAGAATTATTAAATCAATTTACAGAAACTAAACTAGGGAAAGAAAATTTTTTCAGTATAAATCAAATAAGTGAGTTTGAAGTATTTAATATGTTGAATACACTTGATGTGAACAAGTCAGCAGGCATTGACTTTATTGGACCTCGTCTACTAAAACTTTCAGTAAATGTTATATGCAAATCTATTACACATCTTATAAATGCTAGCATTACTAATGGTGTATTTCCATCCCGTTTAAAACAAGCAAAAGTCACTCCTATTTTCAAAAATGGCGACCACGCAGATCCAGGGAACTACAGACCCATATCCATTCTTCCAACATTATCAAAATTAGTTGAAAAACACATAGCCAATCAAATACGCAACTTTACCTCTAGCTTTGATCTTTTATTTAAATCACAATCTGGATTTCGAGAATTTCATTCATGTCAAACGGCTCTAACAAAACTAACAGATAATTGGTTACAAGCTATGGACCAAGGAAATCTAGTAGGCATAACTTTCCTTGATTTTAGCAAGGCATTTGATTTGGTAAATCATGATATCCTTATAAGTAAACTTCAATCATATCACTTTGACCAAATGGCTATTAAATGGTTTCATTCTTATCTAACCTCAAGGTCTCAGTGTGTAAAAATAGGTACATATTCCTCTGATTTCTTGCCTGTCACAGCAGGAGTGCCCCAGGGATCTATCTTAGGTCCCCTATTATTTTTATTGTATATAAATGATCTCCCTTTACATGTAAATAGAACAGATATTGATATGTTTGCTGATGATGCGACCTTACATACACATCATAAAAATGTAGAAGGTATTGAGAATGCCCTTAACTTTGATTTGTGTGAGATTGAAAATTGGTGTTCCAAAAATCAAATGGTGTTGAATACCAATAAGACAAAATGTATGCTTATGGGAACTCAACATAGAAAATCAAAGATAAATTCTCCTGAATTAAATTTATATGCTTCAAACAAATTAATTGAAAATGTTGAATCTGAAAAACTTTTGGGAGTATATATTGATCATTCATTGCGCTATAATTACCATATTGACTCAGTTTGTAAATCTTTGACGTATAAATTATATACCTTACGCAGAATTAAAAAAATTCTCCCATTACACACAAGAAAACTATTCTATAATGCCTACATTTTGCCTTCTTTAAATTATTGTCTAACTATTTGGGGTAATGCGCCAGGTGCTGGCATAGATAGAGTTTTTAAATTGCAAAAAAGGGCAGCCCGGATTATATTAGATGTGGCTTATGATGCCCCTTCACTACCATTATTTGAAAAACTTGGATGGCTTACCATATATGAGTTGATTGATTTTCATAAATATGTATTACTGTACAAAACACTTCATGGTATGGCACCTGATTATTTAAGAGACTCTTTTGAATTTATTTCTTCTAATAATTATGTTTTACGATCTGAAACCAACTATGACCTTCGTCTACCGAAATATCGAACAAGTCAATTTAAAAATTCTTTTCATTATTCCGGTGTTCATTTATGGAACAAATTACCTTTGTATATACGTTTTTCACAAACTGTAAACACATTTCGTAAAAATGTGGAAAAATTTATTATAACTTGCCGCAACACTGTTTAAGTAACGTAATTCCATGTCCTAAACTTTTAATTGTACTTGTATTTTTCCATCATGTTGTATTATTTAATTAGTGTACAATGTTTTCATACATGTAATTGTATTATTATTAATAAGTTTAGAGGGCCCCGAGGAAGACTAGTGCATTGCACTAATCGGGTTACCCTCTTTAAATAAAGTGTTATTATTATATTATTATTATTATTAATGTTTATCATTTAGTTTCCTCCAGTTTAACTTGGATCACCAGGAGACAACAGATAAAGTCTTCTCATATTGCTTAAACCTATGCCATTGGTATTTGCTTATCATGGCTCTGGACGAAACAGCCAAAACAGGAAATATAGACCAGGTCATCCCGAACCTGAAAGCCTGTGTCCCTTTTCTATATACCACATCTCGGCAAAGTAAATACATGTATGAATTTATTGACTTCATCCACAAGGTCCAGTATACCTTATCTCCATTTATGAAGATAAGGGTACTGGAATTTTGTTTTGTCAACACCAAAGGAGGAGAAAGAGGAAATGTTGAAGCAGACCTTGTTCAAGAACACTCTGTAAGAGCACAGAAAACACTCATCCGCCAGTTGGGAGCAAATAAGACAGAGAAGGCTATACTACGTTCTGCTTCTGCTGGAGTTGTTGTTGACAGTGTCTGCAGACAGCTCGATACAGCGCTAAACATCAAGCCAAAATCATCAAGGCACACAAAGACTGTGTCTGCTGAAGATAAAGAAAAAATATTACAAATTTTGAAAACTACAAAGCCATTTACATTGCAACCTGGCAGGGACATGAAAGGTTTCTGTTTTTTCATTTCGCCTTTCAAAATTTGAAAATATAAACTTAAAAATTTTGCATTCTTGTAGAAAAACCAAAGATTCAAAATAATTTAACATTACTAACATTACCACTTACTAAATAACCTTATCTTAAAAAATATATCAAGGAATACAATATATCATGTCTATAATTATAGGCTTTCCAAGTTTTGGAAAAACTCCAGTATCAAAAGTTGACAAGCGTCAAATGAATTTCGATCTAGAAATTATGAAACACAGAGTTGTTCAAGGTCAGAAGAGAATGACTTTCGATAAGTTAATCATTAACCTTTCATACTATGGATATACATTGTAAATCTAATTTTGGATCCCATATTTATTTTATAATTTGATAAGCAGAAGAAAATAGTACAGATATACAAAATTTAACAGGTACAACCATCTTCAGTCAAGAATAAAATCTTATTGAACATCAAGACAGTGACAGTGAAGAAGAAGTTCTTCCACCCCTGTGTTTTGTGTTGTGTTGGAAGAACAACAGACCTCATGTTCAATGTGCATGGATTAAGCAACATTGATTTGTTACTCTTAGTTTTTGTTGGGTCACGACACTTGTATCCCGCTTGAAAGTACAGATATACAAAATTTAACAGATACAATCATCTTCGGTCAAGAAGAAAATCTTATTGAACATCAAGACAGTGACAGTGAAGAGGATGTTCTTCCACCCCTGTGATTTGTGTTGATTTGGAAGAACAGCAGAACTCATGTTCAATGTGCATGGATTAAGCAACATTGATTTGTTACTCTTAGTTTTTGTTGGGTTACGAAACTTGTATCCCACTTGAAAGTACTGTACAATTCTTGATCTTTAATTGTAATTCAATTCTGCCTTCTTTTTTTTTAAATTATAATGACAACAAATCAGAATTCCTGCAATTCTTCTTTTAATAGTAGTGATCACAATCAAACTTTTTTTCTTATCATACTTTGTTCATGATCTTTAATTAGGCATGTAGATACTGAAAATCATCTAATCATTCTGTACATAAATTTCATCTGATGAGCCATATGTCTATTACATTTTCACATATTATCAAATGCTTGTCAACTGCTTACTGTACATAAATCATACTTTCATATAAGTGTTGCATCCAAATCACATTCGTTTAAAAATCAAATTAATTCTTTATTTCTAGCTACAGCTACAGGTTACATGTCTTAATAATTTTATCTGGTTTATTGATATCTCTTTCAAATTATTAAAAAAAAAATAATTTCCTTATTTCTGCCTCCCAACTGATGAAGCCTGGGCAGAATTGTAAATTTAAAAATCAGATGTAAGATCATATCAGAAATATTTGGATTTGATTGAAAAAGGCAGAAACTCACCTGGCACAACTGATACTAAATTCTTCATTGGCTATGATAAATATAATATGAATGGGTCAATCCATGTAGATTTACATTTCAATCCTTGAGTTTTTGTAATAACTGCTTTTTTTCAAAATTTCTTTTTTCCATTTTTTTAAATATCAACCTTGCCAGGGGAGTCTTGGGAAAACAAATGATTTAAAAACTGTCAAATTTACAAATCAAGCAAGAGGTTCATTGGCCTCAACACTGACAAAAAAATAAGACTTCAATTTAAAAAAAAAATTGCCTTTTTTTTGTTTTGGAAATTTAATTTTGCAGGATATTTCATGTAGATTTACATTTCTTGGAGTTTAAGCAATATTAGCTTCTTTTTCAAAATTTCTTTTTTACCATTTCTCTAAAAATTCAGCCATTGCGAGTATTGGGGAAAGTGGTTTAAACTATTGAAAACTATGGAAGTATTTTCTGTATCGTATGATAAAAACGCTTGTATAATTCTTAAATTATTCAATTTACCTATCAATTACATTATTTACACGGATTAGTGAATTACAAAGGAAAATAAATTAAAAATTAAATTAAAAAATTCCCAACTAATTCTAATTCCAGAACCCAGAATTTCACAATTTTGGAAGATTCACTGTGTTCATCATAACCATGCACTTATTTTCTCTGCTAAATACTTAAGAGCAAGAAAGAAGATTTTCAAAGAATTTTTGCATGTGTTTTCTGTATGGTAAAATAATTAATTGTTGGTGGTTCCATGTGTTGTAATACTTGTACAAATTGTTTCAGCAAGACTCAATCCCATTACCTACAAAAAAAAAACATCCACAAAGTAAATATCCTTAGACAGAGAAAATCTTTTTAAGGTATGAAAAAATAATACTTTCATTTAGCCATAGTGTTATATTAACAGGAATGGAAAAATACTTCCGTTGATTTCCTTAGATTACTGCTTTCCATATCACTTTCCATTCTGTAAATAAGCTCACAAAACAAAATCAAATTTGATATACAAAATAATTATGTATACAAATATATAAGAGATACATGGGCCATAATGCTCACCTGAGTCAAAATGGCACTGCTGTACTTTAACCCCCCCCCCCTCCAAAAAAAAAAAACCCTGTGTTTCTGTTACCGTTACCCCGACTGACCCTATAATTTTTACCCATCGAACCCGACTACTTTTTATTCCAAATCTGGATTTTCGAAACTGCACTTTGTTCACTAGTACAGTTTTCTCATAGTGCAGTCAATAAAATGCATGTCATTTGGGCAAGTTCAATGTCACTGAAGGAAAAAGTTCAGAATTCGTGTCCAGTTTTTTATCTTTCTTATTGATAAACTTGGCGAGTTCCCATTTAAGACAAAGGTTGCACTTGACCTGAGGGTGTGCTATGACCTCATATGGGCATTCAAGGTCACTTAAATAAAAAATTTATAATTCGTGTCCGGTCCATACCTTCTTATGGATAAACTTGGTGTATTCCCATTTCACATAAAGATTGTTCATGATCTGAGGATGTGACATGACTTTGACCCAAGGTCATTCGGGCAAGTTCAAGGTCGAAAGAAAAGTTCATAATTGCTGTTCAGTCCATATCTTTCTTATTGATAAATTTAGTGAGTTCCCATTTTACACACATATTGCTTATGACCTGAGGCTGTATGATGACCTAGACCCAAGGTCATTTTGGCAAGGTCAAGGTCACTGAAAGAAAAAGTTCAAAATTCGTTTCCGTTCCATATCTTTCTTAGTGATAAACTTGACGAGTTTCTATTGCTTGTGACCTGAGGGTGTGTCAAGTCCTTATCCCAGGGTCATTTGGGCAAGTTCAAGGTCACTGACAGAAAAAGTTTATAATTTATGTCCGGTCTGTATCTCTTATCGAGAATAATGTTGGGATGCTAGGAGTTTCCACTTCACACAAAGATTGCTTATGACCTGAGGGTGTGTCATGATCTTGACCTATAGTCACTGTAGAAAAAGTGGATAAATAATGCATCCATACTTTCCAACAGAGAAATACTTGAAAAGTTGTTATTTATTTTTTCAATGTAATAAAAAAATGTTATTTTAGGTATTGATGTTTTATTAGGCTGCGCCTTAGTTTCATTCATAAAAAAATTAATGAGCAATTACCAGTAAATTTTCACTCTAAATGTTTAAACCAATTGTGAAGACCTCTTGGATCCATTAAATACTAGTGTTAGTGACTTGGCATCTTCTCTGAAATCCCTGCGGGGGGTATTTGTCCCTTTTGGACAGTTCTAGTTGAAATTTATGAAATTGTCAAACAAAGCTTTTCTGAGGAAAATTTTCTCTGCGAAATTTTTTTATTAAAAAAAAATGTGGTAGTCTTTGGGTTCGAACTCTAGCAATAAAAATCGTATTATTTTTCTTTGAGACTAACTCTCTAACCACAATGCTACACAACTCCTGGTGAAAAGTGGCATTTAAATCATGTTTGTGATATGAACCTTTACTAAATGGACTTCAAGTATTTCTCGGAATGATACGAATTTTGTGTCATAAAAGTGTACTTGTTTGTTTGTTTGTATTTTGTTTAACGTCCCTCTCGATAATTTTTCACTCGTATGGAGACGCCACCACTTGCCGGTGGAGAGCTGCAAATTTTGTCCTATGCTCGGCACTTACGGGCATTGAGCATTGAGGGATCTTTTTCGTACCAGTACCTACTGCGACACGGGACCTCGGTTTATACGGTCTCATCCGAAGGACCGGTCTCCACGTCCCAAAGTGGGATTCGAACCCGCGACGTAATAAAAGTGTACTTGTAATTTTAAGGTAAATTGGGTCTTTGCTCCACGTTTTTGTTAACCAAAAAATGCATATTTTGTACAAACTTTGAAAATAAACTTTAAAAAAAATTGAGCGAAGACCCACTAATATGGAAAAATGTGTTATGAGATAATGATTCTTTATGTCCTTTTTAGTGTGTATATGGTATTTCATCGGCAAATAATTGCATTCTTTGTGAATTTTTTTTAAATTGTGGAGATTTTACATAAGGTATATTTGAATGTTAGATGAAATATCAAAAAAAAAAAATGTTGTAATTGAGATTTAATTTTTCACCTTCGTATTCGTTGAGTTGCCGGCGTGGCGCAGTGGTTAAGGCGTCTGCTCTAGAGTCGCGGAGTAAGAAATGATCTTTACGTCGCGGGTTCGAATCCCACTGCGGGACATGGAGACCTGTCCTTCGGATGAGACCGTATAAAACGAGGTCGCAGTAGGTGCTGGCACGAAAAAGATCCCTCACTGCTCAATGGCCCTGAGTGCAGAGTATAGGTAAAAATTTGTAGCCCTCCACCGGACAGTGGTGGCGTCTCCATATGAGTGAAAAAAAACTCGAGAGGGACGTTAAACAACAAACAAACAATTGTATTTGTTGTACTAATTGCATTTCGCTCACCTTGTTTGATGGAAGCAGCCATCTTCCAAAGTCAAGGGTTTGTGATCAACTCCATTCCAAAGAAACATTTGATCGAATAGACTGAGTTTGACGGAGTTAGAAATGCGCTATATCTTATTGAGCTCATAAAAGTTTGCATGAGCTAATTAAAACAGTGTGTTTGTTAAACCAGAAACTTAACCATAAACAGAAAATACAC